CTCTTCTTCAACCCTCCCTCCCCTCCCCCTCCCTCTCCCCTCCTCCCCTCTCGTTGCCGTCGTCCGCGATACCTGATATCCGAGAGTGCAACGATGCGGACGATCCCCCGCTGGCGGATCCCCGTTGGAAGAGTGCGATTCTGCGCGAACGGCGAGATTAAACACCGCGTCGCAGTGATCGAACGATATCCGGACGCGGATATCGAGAGTGGCGCGCGAGTGGAAATAGGATTGTTTGATTACGAGAGATGCGATTGCCCGTAACACGGACCGTGCGCCGTGCGCGATTCGGTAAGAGATCTTGCACGTGCGCGGCGACGTAACAAGACACTTCCCGGAGGTGCGAGCATAGCAGGAGGAGGAGGAGGAGGAGGAAGAGGAGGATAGGGCGGCGTGATTTCGCCGATCGGACATTAGTGAAAGACACACACAGTGTCGAGATAACTCGCACGACGCGAATTGACGAGTTTATTTTCACACCTTTCCCAGTGTGAGAAGTCGCGCGATGTTCGCACTCGTTCGTGTGTGCAACGTAACGTTCAAATTCATACTTGATTCTCATAACGTATCGCAAATTACATATCGTTGGTTAGGCTTAGGTCCCAGACACGATGAAAGGAATAAAAAAAGTTAAATATAGAGAATTGGAGATGAAGGATTCAATTTCGACGTATATGGAGCCATGCTTTAGTACACAAAGCGGGGAAAGCGTTCTGTCGTTGGTTGAGGGCAATTTTCTATTTTTAATTTTTTATTTTTAACTCCTTATTCCCGTTCATTGTGTCTGAGTTCTTATTCCGTTGATTTTCTGTGATATTCGTGTTTCGTAGAGTAGTAAAAGAACCGAGGACGTAGTAGGCTATCATTTCTAATCTTCAGCATCAGTTATCATCGCATCGAAGGAATAATTGAGAGAAATATTACAAGTGTAATCTAAATAGATAAAAAAAAAATATTGACTATATTGACTTGATCCACGTCCTTTCGCCTTTATATATTTTTTCTTTTTTTGCCAATTTCGAAGATTCGAACAGAAACGTTGAAGATCCTATTTGTCGCGTAATTAAGCACAGGCAGCAAAAATCAAGAAAAGCTCAACAATACGTGACGCAAGTCCGCGACAGTTCCCAAATTATGCACAATTTAGCGGCGGGGAATTTGCCAGATTGAATCCACGATGACTATTTATAATTGAAAGTCCGTCTGTGCGGACGCACGCGGATTAACAACTCGCCAAACGGTCGGTTCTTCTTCGAATCCCGCGGTGTATCGCGCGTCGCAACCGCGGATGTAAAACAAATAAATAAATAAATAAACGCGCGGCGAACGCGGGCTGCCTCTCGCGAGAGCAGACGCGCGGGCATCTCGCGGAAGATGACGTTGACGTTCTGCGATTTTTGCGTCGGCGATTACCCCACCACCAGAAAATCACCGGTGCAACGCTATTACGCTATTACCACTGCACCCGCTCGGTGCCAGAGATAATGCACTTTAGACGTCCGCAAACGTTTACTTAATATAATTCGCGCGTTTCGCACACGCCGACGTGCTCGCACGCGCCTAATGGACAGTCGTGTTATTTCGTACGAAAAAGATTCAACAATTATATCTATGAAGAACTGCGAGATTACGATTATCTGAAAAAAAAATCGGACCGCGGTCAACGCGTGGAAACGTTAAGGGTAAATATTTATCTGAAGTTTTACAAATAATAATTTCATTAAATTTATTTTCTTTGGAAAGTACTGTACAAACGGATGGTGCAACCATCCATTATTCGCTGAAATCTCAAATAAATTTGATTTTGGAATGGTTAATTGGAAGGCTGCGCGAACAGCCGAGGATTAAAATGTCAATCGGTAGAGAGAGAGAGAGAGAGAGAGAGAGAACGGTATTTTTTTTTTAGATTTTTAAAAATAAAAAGACAGATCCTTGACGTTTAATTTCTCATACGCGTTAGCTGCGGATCATTTGGTATATAAAGTTTTTATACGTGTTTACATTCTTTACGGCCTCGACAGGCTGAAATAAGTTCAAAGGAACTCTCAAAGTAAACGATTCGCCTTTGTGCGGCGAAGTGACGAGTCGTCTAAATAAAAAAGAAAAAAAAAATGTAGCCCGCGAGAGATGGATCGCGCGATGGATGACAGTACTCGCGCAGCTGCGAACACGTGAAAATTCGAAGTGGACGTGGATAGGAGATCGTGAGCCATGCTTAAGAGGACGGTGGCGATGGCTTCGTCCGAGCCATCGACACCAGGGAGTCCTGGTCCTGTCGGCCCCCTGAGCTTCGAAACGACACCAAGACCACGCAAGAAGCTCTCCTTCAAGGAACCGGAGGCCTTCAACAGTTTGAAAATTCGCAAGCCGTCGACGCGGCCGAGATTGATACACGCGCAGAATAGCATCGATCTTAGCTTCGATGAAAATCCTTTCGAGGAAGAAAACGAGGATCTCGATGAGCTCGAGGTAGAATCTCTATCCAGTCGTGATTTGAATGTCAGGAAAATTCCTTGAAACGATTGAGAAATAACTGATATATAGGAAGCCCCCCCTGATTATGATTTTTTTTTTTTAATATGAACTGCTTTAAAATCTTATAATTTTTTTATAATCGTTTCTTTGCATATTCGTGAAATTGTACTTGCGAAGAAATAAGACGAATCTGCTTTAATTAGAGTCAAGCGATGAGGGTGGTCAGAACAGTCGGACAAGCTTTCGAGGTGTGCCATAAGTTAAGCATAAACAATACTACGGAGGATCGAGGGGAGAAGGACGGTGGGGAGAATCATGGGGAAAATTACGGTGATGTTTACGAGGACCAAGACGAAATTCCTAATGAACAATCTCAGCCTTCTCCGTCACCGGTGCACAAAGGTAAATATTAACGATACTACGTTTCAATCCTTACCTTTTCTTTCGATTCTATTTTATTTGCAAATGTCACGACAGAAATAATCTCAAGACAATTAGCTAAGAAAAGATTTTTTTTTTTTCAATTTTCTTATTTTTGTCTTTACTTCTGTTTTAACGTCTTCTTCTTGCGTTTCAGACATATCATTGTTGGGGGATACTGAAGATTCGGTTCCCGAACAAACGTCCGTTACCTGTCTACTCCGATCGCATGATGGACCGGCGACAACAAACTCTACCTCACCAATCAGACAGTCGCCATCGGTGAGATTCGCAATTATAAACGGGAATAGAACGACGCGCGCCATTTCAAAAATAAAATCCTCATTAACTAAAAGCCGACTAAACAACAGAGAGTGAAAGATACTTTGTGAAATGCTTTGGCAGCTACGATGAAGTCAAAGCCTTAAAATAAAATAGCTCGTTATTTCGCTTGTTTTACAAATTGTTTACTGCTTTTCGAGCTACCGTTAGTTACAACTCGTAAATTCTAAGACATCTCTTTATGCTCCATTTCGCAATGGTATCTTACTTTTTATGAATTTCAAGACAATTCGATTCGTAAAGATATTGAAATAACTTTTACGCCTATTATGTATTTTATTCGTAAATTTCTTTTCTCTTGTGTCGATGTTTCTCGAGGTTTATGTATGTGATTTATAAATGTCACTCTATTTATGGTGTTTTTTTCCCCTTTTTATAGGGCACGGTAACCTCCGAGTGCGGAGGTTTATTGGTGGGAGGCGAGTTAACAGCCCTGAAACACGAAATACAGCTCCTGCGTGAACGTTTGGAGCAACAGAGTCAACAAACCAGAGCTGCCGTTGCCCATGCGCGACTTCTTCAAGATCAGCTGGCGGCGGAAACGGCAGCGCGCGTCGAAGCTCAGGTATAAATAAGTGAATCAATTACTAGAACACATAAATATTTTGCCAACACTTGCCTCTGCGCGATTTATCCTCGTATAATCGAACTTAATTTATCAAAGCATCTTAATTTGTCAAGGCGAACTTAATTTAGCGAAATGACTTATGCATTTGATAATTATTATTTTTTTCTTGTTCTTTCTGCCTCCGACTTATAAAAATGCGAAAGAAATGTTTAATGAGACCTTCACAAATTAATCATCATTGATGTAATTTTAATTGATAAAAAAGGTACGACTGAATCGGAATTCTACTTTGTGATTATGGATAATTGTTCGTTGTTTCAGGCGAGGACGCATCAACTTCTAGTGCAAAATAAGGAATTGTTAGAACACATAAGTGCACTGGTGGGCCACCTGAGGGAACAGGAGCGTGTTTCCGGTGGCCATGTCACCTCACAGTCGCAAATCCCGACGCCCGCATCCATGCAACAGAACGCGACGGTTTCCGACTTGTCGAGCCTTGGACAGGTAACGCTCTACCGAATTCCATGACATGAGTGCTCTGGTGGAGTTTGGAATCGAAGCACCGACTGATCGAAGCAACGTTGCATCTCGATTAACGTTTAACAGAATGCATTTTGTACTTTCTTTTTTTTTTCCTCTTTCTCTTTTAATACTGTTAACGCCTTTTGTACCGATTTCTTCTTTTTTTTTTTTTTAACTTTATAATAAAACGTTTTATACACACCTTTTGGTTTTGCACCCCCTCACATTACATTGTATTCCGGCGAATGTATGCGTACCTCCGAATGTGTAATATTCCCTTTATGTTCTGATGACTTAGCGCACGCACTATGTTTTAGGCGTTTTCGTTTGGTGCCGATAAGACGTCGACGGCGAAAACCGCCGTGACCTCAACTATTTGCATTTTTTGCGCGGAGATTTGCGCTTCGACCCTTACAGCGCAAAAATTGCAAAACAACAATCAGAAAGACCGCTGATCGAAATCTGTACTAACATCGGTAAAAAAAAAAGTAAAAGTGGGGGGCGAAAAAGTTTCGTGCAAGTGATTTGATGCAGAGAATGCGTTGCGTTATATATCTTGACCGCTTACACGTTTGCATCGAGGTATCTGATTGCGAAAAATGAATTTCATGTTAAGATACGAACTAATCCAATAACAAATTAAACACCAGTATAACGGTGTTGTCTAACAGGTCTTCACACGGGATTTCGGAGTACGTGCTGCCAACGAATGCTAGGTAATATTATCACTCATTATTAAAATCTATTGATATAAATGATGATAGTGTCAGACATCGACAAGATGGCTCAGGTCCAAAATATCTCAGAATAGAAAGAGGTAAGAGAACAAAGCCACAGATCCAAGAACATGGATGTTGGACAAATTATCTTTAAGATAATTCACATTTTTTGAGATATGTTTGAAAATTTATATCTTGTAGCGTAAATTATATTCATATTGCATATATCGTATAAATAATTCAAATTTAAAAAAAATTGGGACACATATATTATATATATGTATATACATACAGAGTGACTTTTGATTGTACATGCTAATGTTCCGTAAGTCGAATTCAGAGATCAAAACGTTTTGAAATGTTTTAACTATCTATATGTCCAAGTATTACGTTAGTCAACGTATCTTTCTTATTCCGGATTCTACATTCATTTTTTTAAAAGATATAATCAAGAGTCACATCCCTGTATGTAAACAAATATATAATTTATAAAATAGCTACGTGTAAAACGGGAAAAGAGGGACAATTTTATATCTCTTGAATATCGTGGGCTTCCAAAGATCTTGTTCCCCAAACTGCGTATTCTCGGATAGTGCCAACGGACTGGGGGCCAGAGTTCGCCATGGGAATTGGATCCACCGACCTTTCCGTATTGCTCGTATCCACCGGAATCGCTGTATTCCGGCGGTCTCGGCGCTATGGGAATTCAGGGTAATAACACCACTACGGATCAGCTGCAGTTCCAAACGCAGTTATTGGAACGGCTGCACAACCTGAGCCCGTTTCAACCGCAGAGATCGCCCTACAATACACCGTCGCCGTACGCGATGGGTCCAAGTTTACTTCTACCTCCGTGCAGCGGGCCGGCGGTGAGTAAGTCCTCGTCATAAGGGCTTACATATCAATGCTTTAATTTTCCTATAAATAGGTCGTTTTTTTTTTCGACAATATAAATATAACGATTAATTCAACATTTATTTAAAAAATATTTCATATTCAGTATTATTTGGAAAAGGAAGACTTACAATTCCGTCTGATTAATTTTTAATGGATCTCTCTTGCAATTTTTTTCAGAATTCAGCTCAACTATCCCCAAATTCTGCGTCCCTGCGAGTCTCGCAACCAAATAGTTTCTCCTCGTCGCCAATTATGCCTCACAAACTCGAGAATTATGGAACGGATAATTCGGACAACGCGCAGTTACTTTTTATAAAGCCTTTGCCATGTACCAATGACAGAAACGTGACTCATCCATCAACGGACGTGAAAGCCAAGCAGGAACGCCCAAATTTACAGGATTCCACCGAAATACCTCCGATAATTCTGGACCCTCCACCGCAAGGCAGACGCGACGGATAACGTGGTCAAGAAAGCGAGTATGAAGCAGAGCTTGATCGCTCAGGGCACGCAGGATAACAAGAGTAATACGCAGAGTTCGAAGAATCTGGCCACCCATCCTGCGATCTTCAGGTCCGCCGCCTTCCCGCACGACGAGCGCACGATTACCCTCGCGTAACGATCTGATGAGCGAAGTGCAGCGAACGACCTGGGCTCGCCACACGACCAAATGACGGGACACCGTCTAGTACAATGATGCCAATCTGCGTAATCTTCGACCACGATAAATCTTCGAAGACGATAATTTCGTTAGACTCCAAAGAGAACACATATCCATGTATATCCCTATTAGGGATATCGACGAGAGAATCACGAGAAAAGTGGTTATGCGTGGTTTGAGAACCTTTGATTAAACGGATAACAGGGTTTGCATTTTCTCCTCGATCGCTCAAACTCGAATCCCAAACGTCATATTTAAAGACTTTTAAAATGTGCATGATATGATTTTTCTATAAGTAAAAATTTGGATTGTAGAAAAGCGATTGGACGTATAGTCAAATGAAAATTCGTTGCCAATAAGAAGTAAGAATTTTTGAGAATATCTTTTACAAAAGTGCTATTACTAGAGCTCTAGAGATCTATTATTCAGATACAGAGTCAATGAATTATCGTAGTGTAGTGTCGTTTCTATGACGAACGTGAGACTCGCGGTTGTTTCAACAAACATTATACATTCGTTTGCATCTTATAACGTCCGTGGAGTGTTTGTAAAGATATGGAAATGATAGTCGCGTTCGGGCGAATTAGTGGATGTATACCTCACGCATCCGTCTCGCAAAGAGAGACGGATTGTAATACGTAATTCGTACATTTAATCGTATCGCGACATTTACTGTGTACTCCCATGTATATAAAAAAAAAAAATTCGCCATTTGACGGACGAACTTGTGCCAAAAGTACCAATTGTCTTAAGAGAGTTTATTTTCAGTATATTTTTAAGTAATGTAAAAATAAAGATAAGCGTGATCACAGAGAGTTGCGACAATTATATATATTTCCTCTCTATACTTACAATACTTCCTGTCTATACTTAATTATGTTGCATATTTAATTTGAACTTAAATTAATTTGCTCAGTGCCAAGACGGAATGTGATTATTAATATTTTGTAAGGATTTTCCGTTTCATTTATAATTGTTTTTTCTTTTTCTTTCTTGATTGGCCCTGCCCTTACCTTCACACGTTACACGATCACATTCCTGATGTGATCTAATATTTCTCGACAAAAATAACATAAATTTGCGTGTGGACGTACACCCCCGCTAATGCGATAAAAAAGGAATGCGTGTCAGGCTTTTAGCATGTATACGTTAATGACACGACAATGTTCATTATTGTGAATATGCCGATGGCTATTCAACTTTCAGCAACAGTATGTCGGGAGATCGTCACAAGTGACGGATCAGATTATTTCCAAAGAATATTAAATCGAGTGTCGGGTCTTTCTTAAAAACCTTGTCATCTGTCAAATTATAATGCGTTGTACACGTTTGATGTAATATTGATGTAATATTGATCAAGCATTTCTCAACTTATTGGGTTATCCAGCGGAAAGCTTTTGTTTTTTTGCGCGCGGAATAACAATGTACCCTTAATATTCTTCAAGAAATATAATTAATTAATATTGCGAATATTATTTCTTCTGTGACACGCGGTATGCAGATTGATTCAGTCGAATCAATGAATCAAACTGCTGGTATTCTGAAACTAGATAGAACATCAAGCCCTTCTGGATCTAGAGCCAGGACCTTAATTATGCAGGTACTTCATTTCATTGTGTATCAGATTTTTGTGACTGCTCAATTATAAACAATAGATTTTTTGGAATTATTGATTTTAACTTAAATTATTATTAAACTCTTTTAATTTTGATCAAAGATATAGATATATGTAAAGTAAAAAATAAAAGTTATTTGAAGATCGAAAGTAGGGAAAATAATTTGAAGATAGGTGAAGTAACTCCTTTCTTGATCAGCTTGGTTTTTTTCTCTTCTTGGCGTTTCTCTTCTTGCATTCCTTTTCTCTCCCTTTCTCATCGTTTTTTTTTGAACAATTTCATAAATTGGAGAGGGGGCTAATTTACAATCGATCAACGAAGCTCGCGAGCATTAACGAAAATTACGTCGGCAGCATGGGAATGAATTTCGTGGGATCGCGTGTAGCACGGTATACGCGATAGTAATCACTCCCTCGAGGAAAGTGATTACCTGCGAAGAGAAGGGTGTGGAGTCGTACAAAGAAACGGAGGATGCATGACGATGGTTATTAATACGACCCGTCACACTGTGTGTCACGCTTCTTGTCGTTTTTATAAACGACGAATATTTTCTTTGACACAAGTAATTGTCTAAAATTGCGAGATGAGATTGGAGACGTAAACGTGATCTTCTAAGCGTAAAACAGCGTAGAAAATAAAATGAATTTTTTTTTCTCCGCACCTGTAGCTTTTGCGGAAATTATTAAAAATAGAAAGATCAAAGTTTTAAATGAAAAAAATGTATTTTTGAAAAGAGAAATGAGAAAATGCATTAGCCATCGAAAGAGTTGCCTGCGTTTGGTGCTGCACATTGGAGTTCTTAGTATCGCATTACACATAGACATTGCGTAATGTTTTAAATATAATGTAGAGATAAAAATATTTGGAAGAAATGTATATCTTAAATAAGATATACATTTATTATTTTATGAAATTCGGTCAATGTCGCGGATAGGCAATACGCATAATTATCGTAGACACATTCGTCCTCGTTGATCAACGTCTCGGGGTGCGCCGCGTCGCGTGTGACCTCGAATTAAGGATCACCTGTGGACACGTGAACGAAGAAATTAAAATCTTGTCGAAATCGTGTCAAAGAGAAATCGAGAACGGAGAGATGGAGATAAATATATTACATAAATAACAATACAAAAATTCAGAATCTGAAATTAAAATTCCATCATATTTCGACAAATTCTATTTCGGATGCTACAAAGATGAAAAATATCTCTATTATTTCTATCGTTATAAAAATATATATGGTAAATTATTTCATACATATTAACGAAACCTGAATTTATAAAATCACTCAGTTTTTTATTCTTGACGGAATCAATCCGTTGAAGATATGTTTTCGTATGTTCTAATGCAGGTGGACATTATCTTGTTTGAAAAAAACAACACTTTTTTAAGTTTTTAATTTTTTCAACGTCAACACATATTTTTAAAACAAATACATTTATCTTTTAACAAATCCAAACTTAATTAATTTTTATTTGTTCTGATAAATTCAAAGTGTCGACGACGACACGTAGTTTTGTAAATGTCACATTTCCATAAAATCACATTCCCGATATGTTTCGGTGTTGAGTCATTTATTTAATCAACGCTCTTTGTCGCACGGTAATTAATGAGAAAATCCCGCGATTTCGCTCGCAAATGGATTGATATCAGATATAAATACGTCTAGGCGATCTCTCTGGGTCGCTGAGCTCTTCATTACTCGCGTGACTCAGGGAAATCTATGATCGTTCGAAGACAGTAATTGGTATCTTTCGCCGTAGGTGGGCCCGTCATTCCCGCGGTCGCAACCGTCGGTCAGTCGACAGTCAGTTACGTTTGGTACCGTTGAGTGCCAGCAAAACGAGGATCTCGACGAGGAAGATCAAAGATCGCGAAGCGAACGACCGAACACGCAACGCATCCCCATCGCTGGTCAGTGAAGATAATTTTCTCTTAATGAAGAAACGTCGAGGCGTTGATAGCCCCGAGTCATATGGAGGATGGAGAACTCCGTCTCTCCGTCCTCTCGAATTCCTTCGATAAATCTTTCGTGTTTAACGTGTGGCAATTTTTAATGATCCGACAAAGCGACCAAGTCCAAGGGAGCGAGTCCTTCGCAAAACCTGGTGCCGATGGAGAAGTCGACCGCGGACGACGAGGGGAATGACAGCGAGGATGATTATTCGGCATCGGTTTGCGCGATTATGCAACAACGGGGCTCGGCACGACGGCAAAGCCGGCGGAAACGACGTCCGTCGTCTCCGTTCGGCGTCGACAATGTCGACGGCTTGGTACGCCGTCGATCTTCGGTCTACACCACAAGTTCTGGGGAGTTAGTATTCGCAAGAGAGTTAGAATAGACTCAAATCCGTTATTTGTATTTACAATTAAATTAATTATATATTATTTAAAAAAATTTTAATACCTAGATTTCGCAGAAGAAAAGAGAGGAGTTTATCGAAAAAAATATGTATAAAAAGATTGTATATAAAAATTGAAAAAAAATTGTTTCTCTGAATTATCTTTCGGATAATGATAATGTTATCTTGATAATTATCTTATTTTTTTTTTAAATTAAACTTAAGTTACTTTTAGTTTGATTAAATAAAAGTCTTGAATGATAATAAACTCAATAGCACGATAATTTCAATGGAGGAGGGCGGTAACCAGGAGCAAATTTTCGAGAATCTCAAACTGCACAAGGAAGTTCTGAGCGGCGTGAAGCAACAGCCTTGGTCTCTCCGACGTAAGATCAAGCTTGTACGGCAAGCTAAAGCTTACATCAGACGACATGAAGGCGCCCTGCAAGAAAGACTAGCCCAAAGTCACAGCACCAAAGATGTCATCGCACGCGTATCGCTTTTTATAACTCAGGTTAGTTATCCTCGCGAGTTATCACTCGCGATTATCCGTGATATTTCCATAAGTATGATAATATTCCATATCCATAAATATGATTACCACTACCATACAAAAGTAAAATTAAAAATTTTAGAACATGTTATTAGCGAGGATTCCAATAGCCAATTATCTGTTTAGAAATGGCAGTACTTCCGACGTGAGCTCATCAATCTGCAAATGTGGCTCATACCTTGGGAAGTCCGTATCATGGAAATAGAATCTCATTTCGGCTCTGCCGTCGCATCCTACTTCATCTTTCTCCGCTGGCTCTTCTGGATCAATCTCGTCATCGCGGCAACCCTTACAGCGTTCGTCGCGATACCTGAAGTAGGACAGATTCTAGTCAGCAGAAATTAAGTTTTCCTTTTTAGGCTTATATAATGAGATACTTAGGATGACATCTTAGGATATTTAATTTCTTGTCCGTTGCCAGATATTGACCGCAAATGCAACTCTTGCCGGTGAAAGGAAGATCATGCTGCCGGAAGAGAGGCTCAGATCGAAGGACCTCTTCACTTTGTGGGAATTTGAGGGTGTCCTAAAATACTCCCCGTTTTTTACGGGTGGTACACCAATCAAGATTCGAACAGCAATTACAGACTACCTCTGGCGTATTTCGTCACCAATTTGGTCGTGTACACGTACAGCTTCGTCGCAATTCTGCGCAAGTACCGATTTCTTTCTATCTTGTTGTGAATCTCGGCAGTACAGCTTTTTTCAGTTCTTTTAAATTTGAAGTGAGAAAAATTGACAGACAGTTCAAGACACAGTATTTCCCGAAAGAAGATATCCCGCAAGCGTATTCAAAATAGAATGATCACGGAATTGCTTTCCCTCATTTCACTCGAGCTGCGAGATTTTCTTAATTAAAAAAAAAAAAAAAAAAAAAAAAAATGGACAAAGCAGACACATGAGCGTGGGTACCTTGTTTCAGAATGGCGGAAAACTCACGTTTGAGCAAGTTGACCGAAAAGGAGGACGAATATGTCTTTTCGTGGAAACTCTTCACAGGCTGGGACTTTATGATCGGTAATCCGGAAACTGCTCACAATCGTACAGGCAGCATTATACTGGGCTTCAAAGAAGCCTTACTGGAAGAAGCGGAGAGACAGAAAGATGAGAGAAAGTGAGTACCCTTTTAACAATAATTTTCGTTTGGATGTTATGCCCATGAGATATAACTGCAACTTCATCCTTCTTGAGGCAAGATCGCAAAAGAAAACATGAGTTTTACATCTCGTGCGCACAATATATTTAATCGTATGTATTTCGCAGCTGGAGAATCATCTCAATAAGAATATTCGTAAATGTGGCGGTACTCTCGTTACTCGCATTGTCGGCGTACGCCGTGATCGAGGTAGTTGGACGAAGCACTACCGACATTGAGTCGCAGAATTGGTGGCGGCAGAACGAGATCACGATTGTGATGTCTCTGATCACATATCTATTTCCGATATTTTTCGAAATCCTCGGCTTTCTCGAGAGCTATCACCCCAGGAAACAGCTCCGGATGCAACTGGCGCGGTAAAGAGTTGCTTCTCTTAATAAAAAACAACAAGATCTCATCGCAATGGAATACGAGCGATCTCACTTCACTATTCTTTCGTTTCAGAATAATGGTCTTGAACCTGCTGAATCTCTATTCGCTAATATTCGCATTGTTCCGTAAAATAAACACTATGGTAACGTAATTTGTGAGCGTAATTTGCATGAATTTGCATGCGCGCCACGCGTTGTTTCACAGTTTCATCTCGAGTGTTTACACTTTAAATATCTCGACTTTACCCAGTTTCATCCGTGAATGTATTTTTTTCGCAGAAAGACGATCTCCGGCTTCTAAAACCGACAAATACGACTTGCAATTATACAGCGACACCATGTCGCAACGATCTGATACGTATGCAGCAAATCGCAACGTTGGCATCTTTAAGTCTCGTTTTAACAAGCAACGTCACGCATTCTCATGCTAAAAGAGAAATATCGGAGTCAAGTATGATTTAAAACAATTAAAATATAAGTACAAATATTTCCGACAGGCACATGTGCTATTTCGGCTTATCATAAATACTAAGAATTTAAGTAGTTCTAAGACACATTTATTTTTAAGCACTCGTGAGGTTTGTAAAGTAAAAATTTACATCCGCACTAAGAGAGATTGCAGAAATAGCAAATGTGTTTTAGGAATATATTTTATTTTCAATAGATAAAACGCGTTTTCAAGATTTTTTCTGACAAAAAAATTGATGAGCATGATTGTTTTATTTAGCCTTGCCATCCATCAGACGGGAGACCTACTTCCTCAATCCTTTACTGGAATTTAATTATACTGATTATAACGATTACTCGAGCGCAGATTACGATAATTACCGGTTCGAAACTTCGAATAGCGACGACACATTTTCCACCATGTCTTATTATGAGGAGCAAAGTACCAAAAGTGTAAACGATAGCGAAGTACGCTATGCTGCAAGCTCGATTGATAATTTTGTAACCGATTCGACGAGTACCGAATATTTTTATACAGATTCTAATTTATCCCAGGATGAAACAACAACGACAATCGAGTCAAACACGATGCGTACAGGTAGATTGCATTTCTTGTGTTTATTTTACCTTTACATGCCTATTAATTAGGATAAATAAATTAATATGTTATGTGACGTATTATAGAAGCATTTAAATATGATTGAATGAAATTTATTATAAGCATTTATTAAAGAGCCTCGGTTTGTCTTATAAATGCAGTTTTATCGAGCATTATTGATTTCGATGGCTTTTCCGAAAAAGCGACAACAACTTCATCGTCTTTAGGCAACAAGACGTCAACTGTTAAGATATTTAACGTCACAACTGCAACAGTAGATGCCACGAGAGTCACAACGTATATTCCAAAAAGCTCATCATCGAATGAACCCATTCATCGTTACGTAAATAGATGTTACATAGAAGTTTGCAACATTACGTCATCAGAAAATTTAGGTATAAATATCACATCGGTACTGTCTACATCGTCATGTTCTTTAGTTTTTAAAAAGATAAGATGTTTACTTACGTTTCCAGTTACATCTCTAAAACAGCTAGATCCAAGAACACGCAAAAGGCTGCGTCGACTATGCTGGGAAACCATGTTCGGGCAAGAGCTTGCCAAGCTCACTGTTATGGATTTGGTAAAGTGCAGAACGAAATTTTATTATAATTATAATACAAATGCTTAGGCATTTATTTATTAATTCGCTTGTTGTTTATTTCTTTCAAAATTGATTATCAGATACTCACCATAATGGCCACGCTCAGCATGGACTTCTTCCGCGCCGTTTTCGTGCGCTTTATGAATAACTGCTGGTGCTGGGATCTGGAGAAGCAATTTCCGCAATACGGCGACTTCAAGATAGCCGAGAACATTCTCCATTTGGTGAACAATCAAGGCATGGTCTGGATGGGAATGTTCTTCAGTCCTGGTCTAACCGTCCTGAATCTGTTCAAACTCGGTGTTTTGATGTACTTACGTTCCTGGGCGGTTCTGACTTGCAACGTTCCTCACGAAGTGGTCTTCAGAGCTTCCAGGTCCCTTATCGAAGTGACAATACAAATGAAATGCTTCTTGCGAATAATCAGACGCGTACTGTGATTTGTACTACTTTTCTTTTTTACTTTTCTTATACCTTTCTATACCTCGATTATCACGATTATTTGCTTTACAATTCACATTTACTTATGTTGCAGGTCAAACAATTTCTACTTCGCGCTGCTATTAACTATGCTGTTTTTGTGCGTGTTGCCGGTCGGTTACGCTATAGTCTGGGTCGAACCTTCGTGGCATTGCGGTCCATTTTCCGGCTATAAGAGGATTTATAATTTAGCGACGCAGAGCTTGATAAGCTCACTTCCACAGCCGATTCAACGGTATGTTCCTATTCTGTTTTTATAATAGTTTTTATAACAGTTTATAATTTGATCGTAAATATTCGTAAAGATGAAAATTTATTTTGGAAATTGGATTTTTTCCCATTGATTACGATTAAAATAAGTGTGCATCTCGAATGTACACGCAGATCTATAATCTAAAGTAAAAATTTCATCTCCGTTTAGATGCCTCGATTACGTCGCGTCGCCGGGCATAGTAATACCATTGATTGTTCTGATGACGTTGATTATTTATTATATGGCATCTCTCGCTGGATCTCTGCGAGAAGCGAATAATGATTTAAAGGTAAAGACGTATAAAGGAATATGAAATATATAAGGTTTTTTTAAAAATATATGTACAAAAGAAATAGAAGAATATATTGTTTAGCTGAAATATGTTGTTTCAGCTGCAGCTACGACATGAGCGTAGAGAAGAACGTCGCAAATTGTTCAAAATTGCAGAGAAGAGACAGAACGTGGCCGAAACTCCGTTATCGAGGTGGAAAAAGATTCTTCCAGCATTGCCGCAAGCCAGAAAGACTCAAAATTCCGAAATAACTCAGAATAACTTAGATGACGTAGAAATCACGATTGGAAACTTGAAGGATACAATGAATAATAAACAATTGACGAATGACACCGAAGAGGTGTCACGTCATGATCAAATATCGTCCGATTATAATAATGAGAAACGCACTAAAGTAAAAGATGATTTGAAATTAAACGATACGCCTCCTAATAAAAGGTATGAAAATTCTATAATAATTACTGTGCGAATTTATGATTTTAAACGCAAGATTCAAATAAATAAAAACGATTATTTACAAATGTCAGTGAGTATATGGAGGATATTATGTTATAAATTATATATCATGAAATTATATAACAAATTTTATACATAGGCCAACAAGCTTCGTTGGATGTTCTTGGGACTCACAATCGAGCGGACAAAGTGTTATTATACCGGAAATCCAAGTAAATGAAGATGAAGAAAAAGATATACATAGTGACGTTTATACAAATGTGGAACTGACTAACGTGTCCGAAAACGGCGACCGAGAAATAACGTAGTGAACTGAACGTAATAAATAAGAAATTATTTTAAAAAATGTAAGGCAAAATAATAATAATTATTATTAATAATTAGTATTTTTCATTAATTCAACTTAATCTTATAAGAATCTGCGCGATCCTCAAAATATCCATTCTGTAATCTACATAATCTACTAATCTACATAAGCGCATGGAAAATTTCTAAATCCAATGCATACATGTTTTCCAATTTTTAAATATTTATAAAAATAAAGATGCGCGTGATCACAAAGATTTACCGTTATATATTTTTTCTTTATTTTTATCTATCCATATATATATATATATATATATATATATATATATATATATATACTATT